CTTAGAAGATAAATGCACTACCATTTACCAGGTCACTAAGATAAGAATCGTGCTGAAGGCCTTATGAGTGAATGGCAGAAAAATAATACAAGACACCTTTAAATTTGTGAATCCATTGTTGATATTGTTGAACTGTTTGATTAGAGCACTAGTTTAGGCCTAGTTCCTAAAAATGATGGAAAATCCCAACACAGTTTGATAATATTGGCCTATGAGAGAACAACACATGCTGTGTAATATAGTTAAACCATTATATAATATTTAAAATACCTGACTTATTATTATTCATTTAAATATTCCAGGAGAGAGAACAGTGCATGATGTCTATGATTCACATTTTAGCCATATTTCTTTTTAAACAGAATAGTCCAACAGAGGGCAGCATGCATCAGTTGAAAATAGTTACACTGTATACACTGTATTTCAGTAAATTTGTACTGTGCTTATTTGAAGTCTACTGTACATTCAAAGCAATGGTTTCGAACATTCCAGTTTTTTATTTTGTTATTTTGGTCAGTCAGTTTGCTCTCTAAATCAGATTCAACAAAATCTTGAATCCTGAGTCCATCTGGGATGAAAATGAGGATGAAACTGGGATGATAACTAAGCTAAATAGTATGTTCAGATGTATATTACTGTAATATAATTCCTAAACAGCTCAGTCTGATAATGAAAAATAGTGTCATTTGTTCTACATCAGGTTTTGATTATACAATCAACATTGTTACTATTATTTATAAATTATATTTTAATTTTAAAGAAGAATAAAAACTAATGTGCACAAAAAGAAATTAAACGAATCAAAACTCATTTAATAAAATGTATTGCGGACTTCAAACCTACGCAGGCTTTTGCTTATCCAGTGATTTTGAAACAATGCATATTTGCACATTACAAGCAGAAAACACATTACCAAACCACCAATCCTTGTAAAGAAAACTAGTTTTGAACCGGATTTGTGTGAGTAGAAAGTTTTCTTTCTTCTTAACTGTCTTTACGAGAACACAGTATCAAAAACCACATCGTCCCCCTCCTACACAATCCACGGATACCGTGTTCTCTATCTTCCTCCCACAAAGGTCATCAGAGATGAAGAAAAACACAGGTATTCTGAATAGTAAACAATGAGTTTGGCAGGATCATTTCAACAGTGTGAGCATGTGTTCAGGCCATTGCCCTTCACGCTAATATAAAATGGTTATGACTTTGTTCATCTCTGAAATGTTAATTAACAATGAAATAAATCAGTCAGATGAATCATGATATGCAGCGTTATTCATTCTCATTGAGGCATCCTTGAAAGTAAAACAACTATCAAGGACCCAGTCTATAATGTCCAAATTTTAAGGACTCTTATTGTTATTTTTTTCTGTTATTCGCATACAAACTTTCAGAATTGTGCTGTTTGCAAAAATGTGAGTAGGTTTGTAGAGTTTTTGCAAAAGAAAATCGACATTCTGGTTGATTTAGTTTAGAGTGAAGTTCATTATTAAATTAAAAGATAAAAAGTCTTTAGTTAATGCTTTGTATTTGAGTCCAGGTTAAGAGCAAAGTGGCTCTGCAACTGATTCTGCAACTCCAGCCTGCTAATAGCAGCCTAACTGTTCAAACATGTTGAGTTTTCAATGAAAGTTCTGCATTTAATGTGTAGATTAGTTGACATCAAGTAAATAAAGACCACAGGAAATGTGAAATGTGAACATGGTTGTTGATATGGTTTATACGCCCACATGCGTCAAAGAAAACATTCTTGTTTGGCGGTGTGAATTCCCTGTCACTGATATAAAACTGCTTTGTCCACACATTTTGAACTTTTTTCCTTTTCTCGATATTGTCTGATATTGTGTTTTCCATTTAGCCGTAACGCAGCACCCTGCTGACAACAGTGCAAAAAACAATTAGATCAAGTTATGAGAAGAAAACAAATGATCAACAAGTTATGATTATCATTTTGTTTGTGTGTTTTTTTACACAAAAGTATATCTAACAGGAAAATTAAAGATATATATATATATATCAAATATAAAAAAAAAAATCTCTTGTACGAGTCTGTGGTCCTCCTGAATGTACATCAAAAATAACTTCATGACATTTTAGAATATTTCAATGACTCAAACAATGAGGTAAACAAACACTCCACGAAGCTGAGTAATCTGGTTAAGTATTTTTGCTGATGACTTGTGGCATAACACTTTTCCTGTGTTGCATTAAATTACATGAGGACTGAAGTACGCACTGTGCATTATTTTGTGAGTATGTTTCCATAGGAGAGAACTGTGCACATTAATTCAAGTTTGTGTGTGTGATGACTGATTAAAGTTAGTTGTGTGTGTGAAGGCATTTTATTTACATAAATTATAATGTCATCACTCTAATTTAAAGATTATGAAAATAATGCTATCTCTGTCTGTGGTAACCAAACAGTATACATATTGGAATGAAATTCTTTAACAAAACCCAAATCTTAAAGAATATACTGGCATATAGTTGGGTATAAATGTCTGACACCACATTGATAATCTGTAGTTTAAAAGAAATTTAAATGTGGAAACAATCTGATTTCTAATTATTTCGAGAAAACAAAATGAACTTTATGTTAAAAAGGAAATGTTTAATTTCTGCAATATTTAGATCAAAAATGTGTGACATTGGACATGCTAACTCCTCCAAATAAATAGCCAAATGTTCTGGTTTTCAGTGATGCACAACATGCTCTTTGGTACAGCTCACATGAAAATCAAGTTTTTCATAATCTTGTGCAGTTCCTACAGCTTGAGATCTGCTGTCATTCAAACAAGGGAGAACAAATACTGAAAAATTCAGAAATTCAACTTTTGACTCATTTTGTAATGCTGATATTATAATTTGCAAAAGATATATGGTTTATTTAAAGGGGACCTACACCCCTTTTACAAGACGTAATATAAGTCCCAGGTGTCCCCAGAATGTGTCTGAAGTTTCAGATTAAAATTCCCCAGAGATAATTTTTGAGCGTTTTTGTGCATGTATCTTTAAATGCAAATGAGCTGCTGGTCACTATACAGCTTTCCAGAAGAGGGCAGAGCCTGTACAGCTTTGTGCCTACTCTGCCACAAACTAAAACATTGGTTTGGTTTAGATTATTTTTCATGAAAGTTTTTGTTATCTGCATACGTTTTTAAGCCATACGTCTAAACTTCTCATATACGGTTTTCTGAGTGGTTTTCTGAAAATTAACTGAAAATGGGGTATGGATTGCCTTTATTAAATTAAAAACTGGGTCAATGTCCAACCAAATGGTGTCGTTTCCAGATATATACTGTTATCTATAGTTGAATCTCCAGGTAAGACTTTGCGGTAGCTATCGGTAATATTAGCCTAACACAAACATATGTTGCATACTATAATTCCATAAAACCTTGTCACTTACCAATTATATGTATACTTCACTCCAAACTAAAACGGTGATCAGTAGCTACAAAGTTGCAGAGGGACTGTGCTGACAAGTTCATGGCTGGTGTCATTTCGTAGCGATTGGCCTATCAAATCAATCTTCAGCTGATGACACCGATTTGAATGAGTCATCCTTTATGAAAACAACCATTGGAATCTCTTAGTATTTTAGAATAAATATAGTAATCCTATATGAATACTATAGTATTTTGGGAAAAACTATAGAAGTACTGTACTATAGAGGTCTTATAGAAAAATCACAGAAGTTTTATAATACAAATCGTATGGGATTAGTTATTTTTCATAAGGAAAGTAGACAAATCTGGCCCACTACGAGTTTAACACCCACTACTCTATCACACAGGGATCTACACACACAGTAGGCTAATCTCAGAAATTACAAGTCCCTGGAGGCTCACAGGTTCTGTGCGTTTATTAGGAAGGATGTAGAACCTCAATTTATAAGAAAAATTATATCGGCAGTAAAGAAAAAAACGACATGACAACTCTTCGGCATGATTGTCACGTGTATTTCAATGAGCGCCAATAAGGCAAAATATAAAGCTTTATTCCAGACACAGGTCTGTTTACCCCTAATTTCACATCATGTGACGGGGCGTTCCTGGTAGCGTTCCCATCAGACTGTATGTAGCCTATGGTAAAAATCCATACAAACGTTCTGTAGGCTATGTATGGTAAAAATCCACCCACTCTTTTTGTAAGGGTGGTTGTGTGTACACACACTGCCGACACACATTTATGTTCAAAACGTGAGCTTAAGAATTATAAGGTTCTATCTCCGTTTAGGGTAGTTCTGAGATATTGAGCATCAAAGTTTTTACATCCCATAGCTGGCAAAACTGTTATGTATAATCTTCTATTAGCCTATAGCTTTATCGAATAATCTTTTTTTATTTTTTATTATTATTATTTTTTTTTACAAAAATAACACCACACAGGCATTAATAAACACCTAATGGATCAGATTATGTCAAAAACAAAATTTCGACCAAAAGTGGGGAACCTTAATTCTATGCTCACGAAAATGAATACTGTGGATTGGAATACAAAAATCGGAGACCATGAAAATCTGGAACTCAAAATCTAATATCAACCTGGCAAAAAGTTATAAAATGTAGCTAGAAATTATGTAAACGATGAAACTTTATGGTGTACAAAAAAAGTAGGCCTAAGCTATTAGGAAGATGCTTTGCTGTATTGTGAATAAGGCACGGATGAAGAGGGTTAGTGCAGGACGCAAAGCAGAATTAATGATAAATATTATCATTTCATTTATATTAATTATTCAAAATGATAATATGTTACATTTTATTCCGTTATATTAAATTATTTAAATATTAGAGTTTATATTAATGTCATGTGTGTAGTTTATTGCTTTTACAATAAAATGCACTGAAACACATTTTCTTTGAAAAACGACTGGTGATTCAACTGCAGCCGTCACATAAACTACAAGACCCACAACCACTAAGTTTGTGTATGTGTGTGCGTGAGTGAGTGATTGAGTGCGTGTATATGAGCGTGTGCGCGCGCTTGTGTTGTCTGCCGACTCGCCTGACGTCACCGCTGGAACTGCCCTGTCACGCGCTGTTAGTAAAAGTTGGGATAGGAGCTTGAGCCTCGAAACGGAGAGCAGAAACAAATTTACGGACGAACTCGACCAACGGTCGCACTGACGCACAACACTCACCCCCCTTCACGCCACGGGGGAAAAAAAGTTGAAGCCGCTGCTAGTTCGCTGAATCTCCACAAAAGGTCGAGCTGTTTGGATTATTGTGAGGGAGAAGCAATAACATTTTCTGCACGGACTTAGAGAAATACAGCACGGAGGAAAAGTTAAAAAGTTTTCCCTTCAACATTTGTCAATGTAGTGAGTTTACTAAAGAGTCGGCGTACATTGACGGGGTGAGCCCGAGCTGTCAAACCCGATGACTACTGCAAATTGCTCCGGGAATGAAGAGCTGGACTTCAGACTGATCTTCGGGGAGGACGGGCAGCAGCCGCCGTTAGGCCCCGCAGGTCAGTGTCTTTTCTTCGGGATAGCTACTCTCTCACACTCCTGCAGTATAGATTAGCTCATGAATCATGCATCGAAAAAGTGAGCAGGTCGATAGCACATTGAAAACACGCTATCAAAAGCACAGTTAACGACAGCACTCGCCGGCTTTTCGCTTTACACCAACAGCTGCAGTTTTGTTTAGTTTTTTGTGCGGTTGTAAATTTAGCCAATGAAAACGAGAAGCGGCAAGTTTAGGCGGGTGAATGAACTATATAACAAACAAGCACCTGTATACACTTTACTGAAGGCAAAAAAAAAAAAAAACTACCTAGACAGCCTTTGTGGGACAACATAGGCGCGTTGAGGTGATTTGAGACAGAGCCACCACGAATCTGACAGCTGCTGCACAGTGAAATGCTATAAAAGTTTCTGTTATCATTTGCTCCTGCCTTCAGTTAGAGCACATGGAAAAAGTTTCAACCCATAAGTTTCCACTAATACTGAACTTACACTGTTCCACCTCCATATTTACATCAATACAAACAGTATCTAGTTAGCTCTGTCACCGAGTGTGCAGGTAATACACATTTATTAAAATGTATGATTATATAAATAAATCCCCATCACAGTTCAGTTCAGGGAGGTGTATTTGTTTTTCCTTTTCCAGAATATGAACACATTTTGAGTGTAGTCCATCTGATGTCGATTATTGTGTAAATAATAATAACTGCTAAATTTGATATAGCCTACTCTTTGTTGAAGTATTCTTGCTTTTGTCATTAACATAATCTACATAGCTATTCAATATTGAATTAAGCAATATTACATGTCTATCACATTGTAAGATTAGAACTAAGTGTTGTAATAAATGTGAATATTTTCCTAGAAACATTACACTTTTGCATTATACAAGTTTTAAGAGTTGTTAAATATCTCAGCAAGTGTTACCACTTAATGTGGAAATTTAATTAATACCAGAGTTTTGATTATTTGATAATCACTTGTTTTGTTCCTGCCCTCATTAATTTGTATAATAATAATATATTGCTTAATCAGCAATGCAGATTGCCACCAGGCATGCCTTATATGTGTGTCTGTTTGTTTAATTGCTTAATGAAAAAAAAAGTGTGAGAAGCAGCAACACTATCAGCCTCTGTCAGTGTGCTCGAGTGTGTCGTGAAGGAAAGAGATTTGGGTATAGTGAAAGCAGAATGCCTGTGTGTGGGTGGACCCCTTGTTTGTGTGTGTGTGTGTGTTTTTTTTTGTTTTTTTTTTGTAAAGTATCGCTTGATGATCAGCATTTTATCATATTTTAAAAGAGCATTCACCATGCTTTGTTATTAGGTAAAATACTGCATTATTGTGGTGTGAACAGTAACTTTGCTACTTCAAAAACTACAGGAATCCGTGGAAAGATTACTGTTGTGCGATTTCACCTCACACACGACTGCCTGATGGTCTGTATGGAAATTGACAGAAGAAAAGAGAAAACATTTCATTTGAGACAGAAATTGGGAGGATGTATTTGGACTAAATGTTGGAAATAAAAAAAACTTTGTGCAAGGGAGTCTGTATAATTTGGCCCATATGTAGGATTTGTGTACACGCATACACCGGTTTGATAAGAGGTTTGTAAATTAGAATTGGTGGTGAAATTTGTTTATTTTTTTCAGCTACCGTATAGTCCAACTTTATCCCTAAGAAGTGTGGAGGATTAAGAAAAATAGAGAATTAGGTATTTTTATAAGTTTTAAGTTGTTGAACAGGTTTTATCCGAAGGTATGTAGGTGTCCGCTCATGCAATAATTAATGTAGCTAAAGGGCAGGGCTGTTTTTACTATACACAGACTGACACTCATCTGTGTTTTCTGTGCCTCTGGTTGTTTTTAGACAAAGTTAACTGAATTGTATAGTCATGTTAATAAAGCTGATACGGTTGAATTAGGTCAGGTCTCTCTTTGTAAGATGTCACAATATATTTTTTATTTTATATTTATTTTTTGGCTGCCATGTTTTTATTTTATTTATTTATTTTTTTATTTTTTATTGTTAACTCATTTTATTAACCAAAAAAAAGGTAACTCTGAAACTTTATAATACAGAATTGAGAACTTTCCAAGCATGACATTATGGCCACTTGAAAGTGAAATGCTGATTATTGTAGGCATTGGCATTTTTATAGATTCACAGCAATCTGTAATTTCTGCCGATTTATATTAAAAATACAAATGTTAAAGGTTTATGAATTTTAGCATGCCCATTTTCAAGCTTAATTACTGAAATTCTCCTAAACACAATAGTTAGTATACAGCAGTGCGTGTAGCGTTAGAGACCGTTTTAGTGCACATGTACTGTATGCTCTCAGTCTCACTCAAAATCAGTCACACATCAGAACGCTAGTCTCTAACAAATCTTATTTGTTATTGCTTGTAGTAACAGCAATGCATCAACATTTTTGTCTGATTCAACCATTCAACCCTGTTGAGAAACTGGTTTACAAAATATTTAACATGTAATCTTTTTTTGTCAAACCTATTTAATTTATAAATAGGAAATATATGCTATTTTCTTTTAAAAACAAACTTTGTTGTATTATTTTCCTGTATTTAAAAAAATCTTAAAAATAATATATATATATATATATTTTTTTATTTTTTTATTTTTTATTTTTTGTTAAAAGGGTTAATCACACTCAAAGAAACTCTAGTTCTGTTATAGTTCTCAGTGTTGTTTAGTCCAAAGTGCTATCTCACAGGACTGTCTGCTCATTTGGTTAATCTGTGAATATTTGCGTAGTGGCCATCTTCACCTTGAATGACTCACCCCAGAAGAATTTTGAGTACATGAGGCAACTTTTAATTTGAAATTTCCTGTGTAGTTTTTCCAAACATAACCGGATGTGACGTTGCAATACATTTATTAGTGTGAGCAGAAAAGTAGAAACCATAGAATTTTAATTGAATATTAAACTATTTAATTGTTATTTATTTGTTATAACTTGGGGGTGATCGATATATCGGCCACTGATATAAAATCAGCCGAGATGGTCAATTTTTTTACACATTGGTATCGTTTAGATATCAAAATAGGGCCGTTGTGAACAAGCCGATAATCATTCCTGTGTAGCCTATTCAACATGCGTGTAGATGTGACTGTGGGGGCGGGGATGTTTGTTTTTGCACGAGCGCATACATTACGAGCGCAAGTCTTGTCAGTTTAAACATCAAGAGCAAGAAGACTGGAACTTGCGCGCTGTTTTCTGTCAGTCTTACTAAGGTGTATTTTTGTCCCGCCAAAGCCTTATTTGACCGGTGAGTGATGTAGATGACTGACTGCTGTGCTTGTTTAAAAAAAAGCTCTGAGTGAAAGCCCTGGACGCACTCGCAGCGTCTTCAAACTGTCTTGTTCTCTCTCCCTAGTTTTTAGTTGTGCTGCCACTAACTACTAATTTTGTAACGACTAATCTTTCGACTAATTTTTTGTTGACTAATTTGCATGGTAGATTACGTCGACTAAGTCGACTAATCGCGGCAGCACTAGTTTTTTTACTTTTAAGGTTTTAGAAGTTTGGCCACTAGAGGCCCCATTGTGTCTCGTGTTGGTTTTCAGTCTCTGTCATTTTGTCTTATTGTTGTCACCTGTGCCTTGTTCTCTGTTTGTGTATTTAAGTCAACCTTCTCCTGAGTAGGGTTGGGTATCGTTTGAATTTGAACGATTCTGATTCCGATTCCTTGTTTCGATTCCGGTTCCTAACGATTCTCGATTCCGATTCTTTTAAGAGGCAGGGTCAAAAAAGTTTAGCTAACCTTGCTAACCAACGGCCTTTCTGAAGGAAATACTCCTTCTGTAAAAATACTCCTTTTGTCACAAATTTTGCATTTTGCCGAGATTTCGTTATTTTTGGAAAAGCGAAGCCACACTTTGGATCTACTTTGTAAGCTACTCATGTTCGACTCGCGTGGTTATGCCAACACTTCCGGTAGACGCTTCTTCGTTGGTGTTGTTCAGCGGTTTCTTCTTCCGCTCGGCGGACTGTGAATATTGAAACTAGGAATCGAAATTTTAACTTTTGAACGATTCCGGGAAAAACGAAAAGTTAGTCCCGGTTCCAATCGATACTCGATTCTCGATACCCAACCCTACTCCTGAGTAATTTACTCCATGTTTCCCGTGCCATCCTTTGGAGTTATCTAAATCTACTTTGTGTACCTGGTATGGTTCCTTTGTTTTGTTATATTGAAGTTTTTGGGGGAGTTTACTTTTTGGATTTATCTCACGCTGTGCTTTTCTTTGTCCGCTTCATATTTGAATACTGGTGGTCATTACTACTTCTTGTGGACATTACAAATGTCTGGCAGCGCTCTGGCGGTCTCTGGTAGTGCAAAAATCTATTAAAACTAAATTCAATGCACGCCATTGATGCCACTTACCCGAGCAAAATGTTTCACTCGGTTACGCAATTTTTAATGGTTAATCAGTTAACCATGGACACCCCTATTCTGCAGGCTTGGGTGGATTCAGGTCCAGATGGAAATTTTATGGACATTTCCTTGGCCGAGAATTTGACCCTTCCCTCTGAGTCCTTTTGTCTTCCCTGGTTGTTATGGATGGGTCCCTGGATGGGCGACCTCTGGGCCATGGAGATATCATTCGTCAAACACTCCCTCTATGTCTCTCCATTCTTCAACATCAAGAGGAGATATCTTTCCATCTCATCCAGTCTTCTGCATTCCCTGTAATCCTGGGCTGTCCCTTGCTTCTTCGGCACAACCCCCATATCGACTGGTCCACCAACACCATCCTTGAGTGGGGATCACCTGTCATGCCACATGCATCTTCTCAAGTTCCTCATACATTTCTCCTCAGTCCCAAGATCCCGTTGACCTCTCTTGAGTACTCTACTGTCATTTTAGATGTATAAAGAGTGTGCCTTTAATGTTAATGATTAAAATGTACAAATAAAATAGGAATGACCTTAAATTTATTGAGGTAACAGACATTTACTTTTCAGCACAAATAA